ATAATTTGCCACCTTTTTGATCCGTTGGATTTTTCCCCTTAGTGTATGTATTTTATTCATGACAGGGAGCACATGCGCATGTGCACATGAGAGAGAGGGCCCCTTGACGGGTTCTCACCGTGCCGAGATCCTCTTTCCAGCCCTCCCCCCTCGGGAGGGTGAGCACCCGTGTGTTTTCAGGCCTCGCCGTGGCCTCCGGCACATCGTCAGTGGCCTGCCTGCACCACTGAGGCTGGGCTCCGTATTCTCTTCTGTTTGCTCACTCCCTCCTCCCGTGCCAGCTCTCCTGGCCTTCTCCTCCCCCGTCCTGGTCTACCTGCTCCCCCTCCTCCCTCCGCTCCAGCCTCTTCTCCTCACTGTCAAGGCCTCCCAGAAATATTGGCTGCTGTTATCAAATCCCTTTCCACCTGTTATCAGCAGGTGCAGGGAGCTTGTGCACAGGGCACAGAGTCCACCCGAGGTGGGGCCGTGCTGCACAGGTGGGAGGCCAACACGATGTGGCCTCCCCAAGCACAGGCCTCACGACCCTTCTCCTCCCAGGAGGGGCAGAACAGCCCCTCCTGACGCAGCACTGGTTCTGAGCTGCGTCAGGACCCTCTGTCCTGGACCCTCGGTTCCTTTCAATAAGAGGAAGAGTGTATCAAGGAAAATGTAAGTCAGTGTCTTAAGTGCTGGCACGAAGCGGAGGCGATCCAGAACCGCAGTGGGTTAGAGACCTGGACATTCTTAGCGGTCCAGAGAAGGGCGTCCGCAGAGCTGCGGTGTGGGGCACAAGCTGTCCACAGAGGGAAACTGCTGAGGCCCAGGCTATGCCAGACACGTGCATTACAGCTTTGCCCATCACCCCACGACATACGTGCTGTGATTACCCACTCTAAAGACAAGGGAACGGAGCCCCGGAGAGGCCAAGTGACCTGTCCAAGGTCACACGGCTATGGGATGGTGGAAGTAGAATTTGACCCCAGTCTGAGTCCTGGCCTTTGCACTCCCTACCTCAGCAAACAGTGAAAGGGAGACACTACGGTAGTGGGGAACCTGTCTCCAAGAATTTATACCAGCCCAGCAGGGAGCATGGGGGTGAAGGATGCCATGTGGCCGACGGCATGATTCAAGTCCCAGACCTGGCAGCTTGGAAGTCATGCTCGGCATGTGCCCATGTGTGCCCAGACTCCCAAGAGGGGAATGGAGGAGAAGGGATTGTAGCACGGCCATCCCCCCTGGGGGGTACTTTCTCTTTCTCTTTCCCAGCAGGTGTACACACATTATATAGCAAATTTAATAATAATCAAGAATTTAGGGACCAGCAGGTGGCGTGGTGGTTGAGGCGCTGACTCCCACATGGCCAACCATGGTTTGCGTCCCAGACCTGGGGGCTTGCTTTCTCCGGGCCAGCCGATGGTGTAGCGGTTACATCGCTGGACTCCCACATGTCTGACTGTGGTTTGAGTCCTGGAACTGGTGGCTTGAAGCTCATGCGGTGTGCATGTGCATGCGTGCCCAAGTGCATGCGTGCCCAAGATCCTAGGAGGAGAATGGAGAAGGGATGTGGCCATCCCCCTAGGGGGTGATCTCTCACTTTCCCTCTTACTGTGCTCTCTCTCTCGGGGGAGCACAAAACTCTCTATAAATAAATAAATAAATAAATAAACAAACAAACAAACAACAAATAAAGAAGTTATACTGTGGGCCCAGCCCCACAGCCGAATGGTTAAGGGAGCCAGATCCCACGTAACCAACTGCAGTTGGAGTCCTCGCCCCGGGGGCTGGGGAAACATACCAGGAGCATGTGTGTGTGCCCCAGATGCCAGAAAGAGGGAGAACCAGAGGACAGCATGACCACACCCACCGGGAGTGCTGGCACTTTCTCCCGCTCCTCTCTGGCTAGCACGCATGCCCTCTAGGAAATAAAAAGTAAAACAAAATGAAAAATAAAAGACTTTTCTCTGTAAAGACAGGAAAGTGCACCTAAGAGCGACACAACCAGGGCTGTGTTGGCACCTGGAGGCACGCGTGTGTGAGATCTCGGGATTCAGGTAGGGCCCATGCGGGAAGGGCCCGTGTGGGTCTTCGGGAGTGGAACCACGGCATGGGGGCCCAGCGATGCCAGCTGAGCTTGCAGGGCCCAGACCCTCCCCCTGGCCGAGTGCTGGCCCTTACCTCTGAGCCAGGTGCTCACCTAAGTCACCCCCTAGACAGCGAGGCCAGGACACAGCACTAAGGCCACAGGCCTCCCAGGGCTTGTCCACAGAACCCTGACCCCAAGCAGACCCTGTCCCCTTCTCTACTTTGCTGGCTGCTGCCACCCCGTGCCTGAAGTGAGGCCCTCATCCCGCTCTGGGCCTCCCAGGCAGAGGCTGCCTCGACCCACGGACTGGCACGCTGCCTCTGCCCGGGCCTCCTGCTCTCAGGGCTCTGCCCTGACAAGCAGGACTGGTCTGTGTTCATGGTGCACGCTGACAGCAGCCCCCCCTGCCCCTCAGCGTCACCCTCTGCCCCAGCAGGAGATCTATGCCTCGTATTCTAGTCACCTTTGCCTCCCTGGCCTGCCTGGGAGTCACCCCGTACTGGCCCTTAGGGCGGTCCCTTCTCCACTGTGTTCTCAGCTCTCTAAGGAGCCCCCTGACTCTGTTCAAATGTAGCGGGTGTTCCTGTTTCCCAGTGGTGAGACTGGGCAGCCAGTGGCCTGTCGCTGCAGGGTCCCCTGCGTAGGGCAAGGTGAGCAGAGGCCTCCCGCCCATCAGCTTCCTGCCCAGTGTCCCAGCCATGTCCACTTAGTCACCAGACACCCTGGAAGGCAGGATCTTTCTTTCTTTAGGGAGAAGGGAACTGAAACAGGTTGTTTTCCAAGCCTACGTGGCCAGGGAGGTGTGAGTGTCCTCCCCACAGGGGACCCTCCCAGGCACCAGGCAGTCGCTGGAGGGACAGGGAGAACTGGGGGTCTAGTGCAGATCATGCGGGGTCTCTGGGAAAATGCCTGAGACCGAGAATCACTCCTTTACAGCCAGGGCCTCCTCGGGGAGGGCTGGGTCTGTGTGCCACCTGTCATTGTGCGGGCTCTGGGGAGTAACGGAGAGAGGAGAAGTGAGACCTCACCCCCAGGGAAGGCGCCATACAGCAATCCCTCCTCCGTTCTTCTCTCAGGATTTTGGGCATGCAAGCACACACGCCTGCCATGTTTTTCAAGCCGCCAGGTCTCGAACTGCAGTCGGCCATGTGGGATCCAGCTGCCTTAACTACAAGCCTCTGGCTGGCCCCCCCCGCTTGTCTGAAGTAGACAAAACAATCATGGGGGAGCAGCAGACCATGGTGGGAAGGAACTGGACTCCCGCACGGGGCTTGCTCTCGCCTTTCCCTCCCTCCCCTGGAGGCTCAGCAGGGAGCAACCCAGCTGAGATCCTGACTCCCCCGGCAGGCCAGGGGCCACACCGTGCTCACCGCACCCCCACCTGGGGCCTTGCCCCAGGGCAGTCCTGCACACGGTCTTGGTCAGTAAGACCCCACATTCAGGCCGTCACACTTGGTCCCAGGTGGTCACGTGTGCATCTCACACTTCAGCCTCAGGCCAGGTTGGAGAGCCTGCAGAGCCTGGCCCTGGCCCAGTCTCCGCCTTGACCTGCTGGTACCTCGCATGTTTCTCCTTTATTCTGGGTTCCCTCCACCCGGAGCCCTTTCTCACATCTGCCTTAAGAATTTAACCTGCCTAGAGGCTTTAGCTGAAGGCCTGCTTCTGAACCAGTACCTCCTCCATGCAGCCCACCTTGCTCTGCACTTTCCTGCAGACAGTCATGCCCAGATGCCGCACCCAGCACCCCGGGGTTGTCAGGGAATGTTAGAATAAAAGAGTAGCAGCAAATCAAAGGTCACCGAACAAGGCCCTTAAAGAGAGACTGGCACAGTGCCTGAGCTTGGTGGCTGTGGGAAGGCAGCTCGGTGCTGGCTGAGCTGCAGCGCCCAGAACTGGGGTATGGACGGGGCTGAGCATCCACCCTACGACGGGCTCCAGGTCAGCCTGGGGCAGACTCCTCTCTCTGCCTGAGTGCTAGACCCAGGGAGGAGGCTCCATGGAGGAGCCAGTGGCCCCCTGCTCCAGGTGAGTAAGTGCGGGTCCACAAAGGCCACCTGGGGATGGGCTGGTCTTGGCCCTCTGGGGCCTCCCTCCACCTGCTGGCTCCCCGGGGCTTCCTACCTCCGGCAGGCTCAGGACTCCCTGCCCACAGAAGGCATTTGTGGGGTCTGTTCCCAGCAGCCCTGGAGCAAGGCCCCCAGGCTGAGCCCCACCCAAAGGCGCAGTGAGCGCGGCTTGGCCACTGGCCTGGGTGGGAAGTCAGCATCTTAGTGGGCTGCCCAGGGTCGCTCCCTGCTGAGACCCCAGGGAAAAGAGGGCAGGATGGGAGGGTGAGCTGACCTGGCGGATGTGTGGAGGGAGCCAGGCGGGAAATGTGTCCGAACAAGAAGTCGTCCCCTAGGCTGGGGCAGTGGTTACCAGGGCCTGCCATGGAGTGACCATTTCACTACCACGGGGCGACTGGTAGAAGGCCAAAACGACCCTGACCGTGGGGAGGGGAGGATGGAGCCCGGGGTCCCACCCTCCTCCCCTCCCGCCCCCCTCCAAGTGGATCTCCCCGAGGCCTTGGCCTAGGGTCCCTGGTGCCAGTGGGGCACATCTGAGCCACTGTTCGCTGTGGGCGCCCCAATGGGGGGAAGGGGGCGAGGCGGACACGGCGAGGCCGGGCCGGGATCACCTGTGGCTGATGGCCCTGCGCGCCTGCCTGCCCACCCCCAGCACGGAGCTCCGCGCTGCCG